GGGGATGAGGAGGGACCCGGGCCCTTCAGCGGAGCCGCAGCTGGGATCTGGGCAGGGGGATGGGAGGGAGAGGGAGGGCCGGTCAGAACAGTCGCTGGCTTCCCAGGCCCCAAGCCACTGGGACCCAGCCTGCCTTCTCAGCCACCCTGTCCTGAGAGAAAGGCCCAAGGGGCTCTCTGCCCTTCCTCCCTTGCACACCCCCACACCTCTGTGCCCCCATTACAGCCCCTCCACCTCTCTGTGCCCCCTAACTTCTCCACTCACTTCTGTCCCCACCTTTCTACACCGGGACCCTTACCCACCTGTCCCACCTACCTATACTTCTCCCCACACTCCATCCCCTACCTACATCCCACCCCCCTCTGCCCCCACCCGTCCCCACCTTCATCCTCAACTTCACACCCTCCATCTCTGATCCCCACACCTTGCAACACCTCACCTGTGTTGGTCCCCCACCTGTGCACCTGTCCTGAGTCTCCTCACCTCACTCTCCCACAAGTCCTCCTACCTCACCCCCTCCACCTTTCTCTGCCCTGACCCCACCCTCCTCCCCTACCCCCCCATGAAGGCAGCCCTGCAAGGGGGGGACAGCAGCGGGAAAGTAGCGGCAGCGTGGCAGGCGTAGGGGGCCCCCCGCCAGCTGTGCGGGAGAAGGCAGGGGCTCAGGGAGCGGCAGCATGGCGGCGGACAGCGACCCAGGGCCCGTCCTGCCTGAGTGTCCAGCTAGCCTGAGGAATCCACACCCCCTTGCAGACACCTGGGCGTGGAGCTACGTGACCACCCAGGGTCCCTGGGGAGCTGCCTGAGGGCAGGACCAGGCTGGGGTGCAAGTCCCGTGGGGGGCCTCTGAGTCCCTGTGTGGCCATGTCCAAGGTGTCATGTGAGCCTGCAGAGTAGGCACATGTGTGCCCACATGTGTATCAGACACTGGCGAATCCGGGAACACGTGAGTCCTGTAACACGTTCACACCTGGACCCTGCCCACCTGAAACCCCGCAGCCAAGAGCCTTGCACCTCAGGTCCCCTTCGCCCAGAGGCCCCCAGAGACACAATCAGGGCTTGTGACTATGTGAGCATCACCCCTGTGGTGGACGGAACTGTGTCGCCCAGAAAGATACCTGTAAGTCCTAACCCTGTACCTGTGTGGCCTTGTGCGGGACTCGGGTCTGTGAACAGTGAGGCTGTACTGCAGTCTGGGGGGCTCTAACCTCTCTGAACGGGGACAGCAGACAGGGAGACAGGATCATACTCGGAGAGATGCCAGGGGAAGATGCCCTGAAAAGCCAAGGAATGCCAACAGACGTCCAGGGCCTCAAGAAGCTGGGGAAATGAGGAAGGACCGCCCCTAGAGCCGGCAGAGTGAGCGTGGCCTGCCGACAGCCCTGGACTCAGAGCAGATGTTCCAGCCTCCAGAACCTTGAGACAACACATTTCTGTTCTTGTACGCCATCCAGTTCACAGTATTTTCTTATGCTAGTCCTAAGGAGCTCTGATAGCACAGTGCCTAAGGCACTTGACTGCTAACCAGAAGGCTGGCAGTTCAAACCCACCAGCCACTCCTCGAAGGAAGATGGGGCAGTCTACTTCCGTAGTGATACCGCCTCGGAAACCCAAGGAGGGGTCGCTATGAGTCGCGTCTGACTCGACAGCACATAACAACAAGAACAACAACAGGAATCTAAGATAATACCTACCAAAAAAACCCACAACATACCTATTCCCCAAAAAACAAACACTGCTGTTGAGTGGGATCTGACTCATAGCGAACCCTCCTTGGGTTTCCGAGGCAGTATCACTACTGAAGTAGACTGCCCCATCTTCCTTCCAAGGAGTGGCTGGTGGGTTTGAACCGCCAGCCTTCTGGTTAGCAGTCAAATGCCTTATTAGAAACCTTTT